CTGCTGAAATATTCTAGGAAGGCTGCTGTGAAGCAGTAGAAAGATCTGTTCTTGGTGTCTAGCAGCCCTGGGTTTGAATCTCAGCTCATTCGCTCCTGGCTAGCTCCTGTCTTTTCAAACCTCTTTAAGATTATATTTACTTTTTAATATGGCCGTGTGACCTTTCAACTTCTCCAAACTTCCATTGCCCGCCCCCACCCCCGCTCTTGGAGTGGGCGGGGACAGGGAGGCATTAAAATCCCCGCCCACTACTCAGGGTTTACTGCAGGTAGAGAAGGTTTAGGTCCCGCACAAATGAGTGAGAGGTGACTGTGTTCTTTTCTTGATCAAAGAGCCAGCCCCTGGGCAACAAAGTGGAAATGGAGATCGTGAGCATGTTGGAAAAAAATGCAACACTTCTCAAATTCGGCTACCACTTCACTCAGCAGGGGCCCCGGCTGCGGGCGTCCAACGCGATGATGAACAACAACGACCTTGGTGAGTGGACATATGCACCCTACCCGCCGCCTGTCATTCTTTCCACCTGTCATGGGAGGTATGGCACTGCTGCCTTCCCCAAGGGAGTCCTCTTTTTGGGCCTGACTCCCAGTTTTCATGCTGATCCCGTTCCCTTGTTTTAGGTGTTTGCGCCTTGCCTCCCACCTGGGCCCTTGCCTAGACACAAGCGCCCTGCCTGCAGACGCCGAGGCCAGGCCCTCCTCCCTGCAGGTAGCTCAGCTGAGCACAGGGCTGGACCCAGAGTGCACCCTCAGCGTGTTAGCCGGGTGAAATGAAACGTGGGAGGCACAAAGCCAGCACGGAGTCTCCTCCTCTTCTGAATACCCTTTTTGGAGCCCAGAGTCCTCTCCAGATCATACAGTGTGGCCCAAGCCCCAGATCCCAAGGCCACCAACCAGCCCTACTACCAACACTGCAAACCTAGGGGACTTCACGTTGCTTTTAACGTAAAGGTTGAAAATGCTGACTTTATAGTAAAGTAAAACAGGTTACATTTAATCTCAGTTAAAGACATAGTTTGCATTTAAAAAAAAAAAAAAAGAAAGAAAATGTCACAATCTTTCTTAGGAGCAAACACCAAAAAGAAATACTAGTCAGTTGAACAAAAGGGAGATCAGTCACCGACTTACTTCCAGATGCTAAGTGTTCTCAAGCTCTATGCCTAGTTATTTCTCACGTGTATTCCTGCT